TCATGGAAAACAGTCATTTATAATAATACTATTACGGAAAGCTCTTAGCTCCATAATATTGATCATAAAATAAATTGAAGCGTTTACTTTTATTACCTTTATTAAATTTCCCTAATAATAGCTATAAAATAAGTTGAAGAATCTCTTATTATAGAAAGATGTAATAATGTTACGTGGGGTTGCAATATTTTTAGTGTATTTTAATAACAAAAATTTTTGTAATAAAATTAAATTACACATAAGAATTTTTTTAATAAAAAGTTTTGTCGTTGTACTGCGCATTAAAACAATTTGCAAAATTTTAATAAAAATTTGCTTTAGATTGAAGCATAGTCAATCACTTCCCTTTTATTATCTCCCTTTATAATAGAGAAGTTAATAGAATAATTATCATAATGAACGACTTCCTAATTATAATGGTTGACGATTATCATATTCGAGTACCGTGGGGTAACTGCATTCGCGACTTTACAGTTCCATTTTTTAAATACACTATCGTTGAAGTACTTGAAGCACTATCATTGAAATTTACTCTTAATGATGTCTTTAAGAACAATCAACTGTGAGGTCAAATATGTTAATTTTTTAGTAACAATCTTACTTAATTGCCGAGTTCACCAACAGCAAACGTAACAAGAAGGTACAATAAGAAGCAGATTTATTAGCAATTGTAATCTCTTTGCCATTCTGAACTCCCGCACTAGCTTCTTTCCCTCGCATCGTTATCCGTTACTCTTAAGAAATAGTATTGCGCAAAGTAAAAATGTTAACTTTTTAATTTTAACTTTATTTTAAATATTAATGAGATGTGAATTATATCGTATTAAGTTGGGACAAAAGTTCGTAGCGTTATTTCATTTGTATTATGTCTCTCTATATGCTTTTTAAAAAAATCAACAATTGTAATATTCGATAAAGTAAAGTTTTAATTTTAAGAATTTATTTTTTTATTTGCATGAGTGATTTTTAACGGAGTTAAAATAATAATGAATAATCGAAGCCAAAATGTACTACTTTTATTTAATCCACGACAACTCATTAACAAAAAAACTTGAGAAACAATAAAAAACAGTTTTGTAGGGAAAACTTTAAGCTTTAAAATTAGAAAATTGCAAATTTTTGCAATTGTTCTTTGTGTGTGTGCTCGTAATTTTCTATATATAAAAATTTCCAAATTTATAAAAACTCAAAAAGTAATAGCTTTTTAAAAGTAAAGATCTAAAAGTAGCTTTAAAACCCTTTTTTTTTAATTTAAATTATATTTAAAATTATTCATTAATAAAGTTACAGCTTAAATTGTAAAGTTTGTAACGCTATAAGCTTCGTTCCAATCCAATAAAAGTATCGATATACCTATACTTAATGTACTTTTTCTTCTGCAAATTTTCATTTATTCGATTTAATTAATTCGTTTATTGAACAATAATTAGATAAAAGGACCAATAGGAATTGGATGTGCAGGGTTTTATTTTGTAATATAAATTAATGAAACAAAATTTATTTTTAACTTATAAGTTTAACCATTTCAGCTTGATTTTCATTTATCCAAGTTTCGAAAGATAGAATTCTTAAAGCATAAATGTAAAGAAGATGCATTGGCAACTATTATATAATCTTAGCCTCGCATTTAGAGTACGATCGATAAATTTCTTCTGACGAGATTCGTCGGTTTCTCCTCGTCATTAAAACTTGCAGCAAGAACGAAACCTTACTGCAGCGATTAATGTACAGTGAATGTGTACCTAATATCTCTTAGTAATAGTTTAAGACGTTCGCCAAGATGGAGAGAGGGAAAAAGAGCAAGAGAAGGAAGGGGAGAAAAACTTGAAGCATATAATTTCTTCTCGCGCGAGAACTTTAGAGTTTGCGAATGTGGCGCATTAACTCAAGTGGTGGTTTGCCGTGGAATAATCGACGACTACCGAAACTCGAGCACGTATACACGTGGCAGCCCCGTTAATCTTCATCCGTGCCCTTAATCTCGTAAATAGCTGGGGCGCGACTTTGTTGGCGTTCGGCCGGCGCCACCGCGAAACGCGTCAGCGTTAATTACATTTGTGTTTCACATTTCACACGAATAACGCGGAGGCGCACACTTTTGTTACTTAACGCGCGACACCGACTTAACGCGACATTATATCGTTAGGTACCGGCCATTAAATCGGTCAAGCACGAACAATCATCGTTCTCAAGCCGGTCACGATCGCGGTCATTTCCTCCTCGTCGAAACGATCCTTTCGGCCCACCCTTTCCATCTTCGTTTCAATGAGAAACGAGTGAGTCTCACAATTCCAGCCGCGTATCGACCAAAGCTCATTACGACATTACTCGTGCGTCAACGTCGGCATAATGATTAATTCTTTCTTTGCTATCGTGGTATACAAGTTATCTGCATAGATATTACACAAAAGGGATCAAGGTCATTGAAAACATTCTGTTATCTACTTACACTATTTTAAGAAATTAATTTGGAGATTGTTTAATTTTCTTAAATTTTTAAGTATTAATTAACTACAATAATTTATATTATGTATTTTAGGACTTGTTAACTATATGTATATTCTTAAACTTAGGCACTAATTAACTGTACCTATATTTTTTAATGGAATTTTAGTATAATAGTAATTATTTTTTATTTTTTTACAATATTTGTGTATTTTGCGTATTCGATAAATTTAACACAATATGTACACGATGTTGACCTCTGAAATTTTTTTTGCTTGCTTATTAAATTTAATATATTATTTCATGATAAAAATTACGTGAGAGATTTTTAGTAAATACTTTACATCAGTAAAATATTACAATTTTACATTTTTTAACATTTGAAATTACTTTTTACCTAGTTTTAATTTATAATTAATTTTGCGGTTATAATTTATTATTTATGCTGTTTTAATCATGTTTAATTACCTATATATATATATATATCTTTATTGGAAATAGATCGAGATAACCTACACGGAATGTCGCTGTAAGTGACTCATAAATTTTCAATCATAAGTAAATGTGTGAAACAAAATAATGTTATTAACAAAGGAAAATAATAGAATTAATAAATTATATTCAGAAAAAATATATATATTTTTGTATTTATTTTAAAATCAATTATGTATTTTAGAATATGTATGCTAAAAAATATATTAGTCAAATAGATGAAATAAGTATGAGTAACAATAACTACTAAATAATTAGAAAAGTATTTGCCATCAAACAATTATTGTAAAACAAATAATGCTAGGTATTATAATAAATATATTGATATAAGTTTTATATTAGGTGTAGTAAAAAGAAATCCATTATTTTTCCAATAAATTTCATGCAAAAATAATGGATTTCTTTTTAATACACCTAATATGATGTATCAATTCTTATAGTCACTCTCTTGTAATACGAAAGCGATTAAGTCTAATCCCCCAAGAATTACTAAAAGCTTGTTTGTCCTTTCTAATTAGTACACGTATATCTATGACTATGACGTACGTCGTCGTCATTCCAATCACGTGTTCGGTTTCGATATCCTACCATTTATGGCAACATTACGACAACGAATTTCGGTCGAGAGTGCAACCGACGAGCGTGCGTTGCGTGCATTATGTGCATGCAATATACGGCGCACTGTGATACACGACATCGAAAATTACGTACGGTCTCTTACCACGTAACAGGCAAGAACTTCCGTGTAGCCGTTATCAAGATCGCTTGGCTTTATATCGCAAAGTTGCTGGACCAAGGTATCAATTATATGTATTTTTCGCGAAATCTTGCAAGAAATCTGCTAGTCGGGAACATTGTGTTCACATCGTCCTGTATTATAGACAAAAATAAAGTTTTAATACTTGGTTTCTGTTTTCCTGAGAAAATTAGGAATTCATTTTGCAATGTTAATATTCCTGTTCTATTTTTGTCTTCTGGAAAATGACGATAAATTAATTTGTTTCTCCTTGAAAAAAAATTAAAGCGTTAAAATTCCATTTTGCTTAAGAATAAAAGGCGGAAATAATGAAAACAGTACTCATTAAAGAGTAAATGCAATTGTGATGAATATTTTCTCATTAATCCTGTAATTAGAAACGTAGAAATTTATATATGTTGATCTCTCGTGAAAAATATTTTAGTATCTTAATAATTTATTATTATTTCCATTTAAATATTATTATATAAAATTCTTAACTGCATTAATTTAACTTTTTTATACACAATGATCAAGAAATAACAAAATTAAATCTATAACATTTGAAATTAGTAGGCACTGTTTTCATAATAAGTGCTTATACTTATTAAAGCGCTGTTTGAAAAAGTTTAATTTCATAATATTATAATAGTTTCTACAATACTTCATACATAACTTCATTATTGAATTCATTTAACAAATAATATTTGTACTAAATTTCCTACTGTAATGTTAAAATTATTAAGACTTTATGATAATATTGTCTACGAATGTATTATACTTATATGTACTACTTAGTAATACTTAATAAATTAAACGAAATTTTATAAAGTTTTTTGCAAAGAGATCAATAATATTGACTGTTATGATGAAGTATGCAAATACCTTTCTCTGTAAAATATTATATATTATATAGAATAGAATGTGATAAAGTTAGAGGAAGGGGGGGGAGTAGAAGACACCCAATTGCATACTAATATTGTTTTACGACTTTATAATTTGTTTAATGCTGCTAATATAAATGGACTGACATTAAGTCGAAATCACTAATCCAGACATACAATCTAAGATTAGAACTGCACATCGGGATGGAAAAATATGAGACTTCACTTCTTCAAATACGGAACAAAATGACACTAGATAATTCCTATCTGTAAAAATTAATCGTCTAAATTGATCATCTCATCTATTGCTTTTTCTAGAAATTAATTTAATCCTCTGAATTGTGATTGTTCTATTCAGTGCGATGAAAAGTGTTTCTAAAAACTGCTATCAAAAATTACGTTTGTTCTTACGAAATGTTCTATTGATTGTTGCAGATATCAAAATGGGTTGTTTCGGGAGCAAAGACAAGTTGAGCAAAGAAGATATGGACTTCCTCAAATCGCATACGCGATATGATGAAGCGACTATAAAGGAATGGTACAAAGGTTTTAAAGTAAGTATCGAAGAGGTTATTGGATATTACATTATAGATCAAGATTTATATCGAAATTACTATAAATGTGCAATCCTTCTGATTTCATACATTTCATAGCGACCTCAGTTTCGTTCCGTATATTCTCACTGTAATCGCATACTTTTCTTGTGATATATTACGACTGTGACAATAAAAGACGTTTAAACAAATGCTTTGTTGAGAAATGAAAAATTTCGCACAAACTGTATCTCCAGCGTTGAAAGAACAGTTTTCATTTCTATTTCTTGCTGAGAGCTTTATAATATATTTATTTGTATGACCTATAGTTTGAATTCTTTGATCATTTAATATTTTCGTTATTTTTCTGCGTAATAACGAGCACGAGATTCATGCGAATACGAGCACGATGAAAAGGTCTAGACAAGTTTGCTGCAGAAAATAAACAATTTGACGTTTATACTGCAAATATAATTTTTGTCTACAAATTTTTTTAATGTTGAATTTTAAAATAGTTCTCACATGATGAATGAATTATGTGACAATTTCATTATTAATAATTCTGCGTAATTATCGATTATTCTTTATTGTTAATTTACCAATTTATTTTTAAATAATTTTTAATCACGTCTTAATATTTAATTTTTCGTTATTATAGATATTTTTATTTAAACGTGCATATGTCATGATAAAATAAAATATTGATGAAAGAAATTTTTTAATTGATTCATTATAAAAATTTTGCAACAAAATATTATGTATAAATGCGCTTCTAAAGCCATAAAGTTTCATTAAAAATAAATGCATACACATAAAGAAGGAGATACAAAAAAGCATATAAACAAATCAATCCACCTTCTAAATATTCTGAAAAAAATTGAATGAGAATATCTCGTAATTTTCCAATGATGAAAAAGAGCGATAACTATCATGAATAATGTTAGTTCAGAGTCACAGTACACAAAAATTTATAAATCATTAATTTATGAAAATCTGTATAAATATATGAATAAAATTGATGCAAATTCGTTAATAAATGTTGCCATGTCACATATACATTTGTAACAGTGTCAGTTAGAATCAATATGCAGCCAGTCGTAGTCGCAATTATTTGCCATGTAAAATACGCTGCAATATTTCGCAAATATGCAGGCAAATACGAAATTGTGTTTCTCTTTTCCTCGTAAAGAAGTAAGAAGAATGATTATATAAAGATTTATGGTTATGAAATTTTGTAAGTAATAATTTGCAGTTAAATTAAAACATATATTAGTAAAAAATTTGTTCAACTATAACTTATTCTATCTCGAAAATATAAAACTTAATTGAAGTGTAACAACATTTTACAAACATTTTTAATTTTTAATTTAATGCGTTTTATAAATATAAATTTACAAAGACACGAATATTTATAAATATTTATATTTATAAATATTAATATAAATTTAAATATGAATTTAAGTTTTATACATATAAATACAAAATACTCGATAATGTTATTGTTAATACTATTTGCCCTATTATATTGTAAAATGCTTTGTCAGATTTTGTTAATAATTAAAATGTATGATTAATGTGGCATAATTAACGTTATATCACTGTGATATTTTATCATCCAACATGTTATTTACCTATTGATAAATAGTCACTTGAGAAGCTAATTATCGATGTATGATATATTCATATCTACTCTATAGCAAATATTAATTTATTTCTCACATATTCGACGCGTATAAATAATTCATATTAACGCGATGAGTTTCATAATTTGTGCTTTAAATATTCAATATATTGAGACATGATGTACGTGTGATACAAACTTCATATTTAGTTTATTGGCATATGGATTATTATTAGATTTAATTAGAACGTTATTATCTTATCGCACATTATCTTATTCGCGAAACGCAAATAACATGTCTGTGTATAATTTATAATACAGCATATAATATAAATATTTATTCATTATGTTTATAATTCTATACAATTACAACGCTATCATATCAACATTTGTTGTTTTGTCGCTATGAGCAATTGTCGCAATTTGATGCTAATGTATATTATGTAAAATAACGAATATATAAACTGTTGCACAAATTACAAAAGTCTGTCGAGTCTGAAATTTAAGAGCTAATTAATTTTCAAGTACTAACACATAATGCCAAGTTTATAAATACGTTAGGAAGTATAGCGGTATCATCAACAACATTTCAAACATTCTCGTAAAATACTTAAATCAATCTATATTATGAGAACTCGCTCGAGCTACGACGCAAAATTCATCAAGAACAGGATGTGACGTCTTCGCGGAAGCTAGCGCCGCAGAAAAGTTACTTTCTCGAACAGTTTAAACGGGCGCGAATCCAGAGGAGCTCGTGGTGACTGGACTAATTAAACTGAGCAAAATCGTTATAGCAGACGTTCCGCGATCTCGTACGATTTGCAATGAATCTCGCATGCGACTTCGTTGAGTCTGTGGATTGAAATAAATGAAAACTGATCGCCGCGACTTCGACCTTGGCGAAGAAGCGCCATCGAAGGAGATTGAAAAATATATCGCGCGGAAGCGGCGTCGTTCACTTCTTTTTAAAAATGAGACGAACGGTACTAGATTAAGGCCAATCTGATACGAAGAGAGCGATGACACTTAAACGACGTAATTTTCTTCCCATATCTTGCGCTCAAGCAACAAGACAGATATTTTGCAATCAATAGAATTCACTATGCCGATAAAAGTCTTTAGTTAAATTTAGATTAATTTAGACACGACATAATTTTAGCAAAGTATTTTTATTCAGACCGATTTAATATTGATCTATATTTAATATATCTTACGCTTAAATGTATGAAGAACGTACTGACGCAAATACTCTTCTTACTTGGTACATATAAGTGCTATTTTCGCTGAAGTAAATTTGATTATTACTCAAGATATAATAGCATTTCGAGCAATTTAGTTTCTACGTTATTATGACATGTTTAATTTTTTTAATATATTTTTAAGAACAAGTTTTAATGTATTTTTATAATTTAATGTATTTTTATAAAAGCACATTTTGATAGTTAAATAATAAAAAAATTTAATTATATAAAAAGTGCAGTAAAGAATTGCGAAAATATCATGCAGAAGATAATTAACGAAGTGCAATCGAAATTTAACTTGCGTACCAAATGTTACACAACTGTAATTGTCATAATTATATTATTACAGCTAATATAATTATACTATTTTGTTAGATATAATTATATACTTTAGAAATAAAAAAAGTGGAGAGAAAATATACACACACACGCACACATGAAACAAAAAGTATTGCATATTTATAGATATACTAACAATAATCAAAGAGAGAGAAATATAGTTCAATAAATAGGAACAAAGTGAAGTAGTTCAAAATTTTGATTAGAATAGGAACACACATATATATAACATAGAAAATTGTAACTCGAGAATTCACGGTCTTCTGTTCTTTCGAATGTTACAGCAAGACTGTCCTAATGGCAGGTTAACGCCGGCGAAGTTTGTCGACATGTACAAAATGTTCTTCCCGTCCGGTAACGCGGAGGAATTCTGCGATCACGTGTTCCGCACATTCGACATGGACAAGAACGGCTACATCGACTTTAAGGTGAGTCCCGTAAGCTTTTTACGAGACGCGAATTGATACGGATTGCTGTAATGAGGCATGTAATAACTACCGTGCTCTCGACGAATCCTCCAAAAAAAGGTACGTGTCACTCCACGTATACTTGTCGTACAACGATCATTCCACGTGATTAAACATAATCGCGACAAAATCTGCTCGCCTGATTGACTCAAAGAAACGCATTATAGTCGCCGCAATGCTTCCATCGCGAAGAGAAGATTGCACTTTTATGACGTGGAAATATCGTTCGCGTGAATTTAGGTCGACTGGCGAGACAGGGAGTTTGAATATCGGAAATTTATCGGGAACTGCGATCTATATACATTGAGAAGAAAACGATTGGTCAACAACGTGTAAAGACGGTAAAATGATGTGCTAAGACAGAAAAGATTTTTATCTTGGCACAGAAGCGCGCAAAGGAACGTGAGTGTTACATCCGATTATACGCTCGACAAATGCGGCGACATAAATCTTTTCTGAGACTTCAGATCGCGTATTCTTTCCCGGTGTTATTCATGATTGCGAATTTATGTTCTTTATAATCCACGTAAGTCGTAATGTATTATTCATACGACGCGATGTAAGTATTACAGCCAAGCTCTCCGTCACTTTTCGTGATCCCTTCTCGCTCTGTAGCTTCGTAACTGCCTTGACTTAACTCGAAATCCTTCGAGAGAAGTGTCTCACGTCACACATGGTTTCCGTTTGTAAGCAAAGCGAGCGAATATCCTCGAGACCACCATCTCGGTGTGCAGATCGGTAATATAATATAGTTCGCCAAAGGTGCGACGAGTCACGTTTGCCTGTCGGCGAATATGTAGCTATTTGACATCTGACCCGAATACGCCAGATAAAACCCCAAGCTTTGTCGAACGGTCGTGCTTTGTAAGGTGATCTCGCATCGCGTCGCTGATCAAAGTCATTCTAGAGCAGCTACATAATTCACCGTAGAAAGGCATTCTTCGGATGTAAACGACGCACTATTTTTTTCAACCACCTTACCATGTCAAGAATCATCTTGTCTCGTTCTTATCTATCTCCTCGCTGTACCGTGTTTCCAATCTTCAAAAAAGTGTCACTGTTGCGCTCAACTGTTGCGCAGCGGATCTGTGAGCACTCGTTGCTATTGAATGATCTAAAAGAATACACCAATAGCATTAAGCTCACGGATCCGCTCCGATGAAAAGCAGAGAAAAGTGTAACATTACAAACTTTATTGAATTGATATCTATGTAGTTATATATAAAAGGATTTAAAAAAAATAACAATTATATTTATTCTTATATATTATCGTAACAATTACATTGAAAGAAAATATCGCGATATTACACATTATAGTCATTTTCTTTCCTAATATGAGAAGAAATAAAATAAATAAAAGAAGAAATAAACGAGAGAGAAAATTATTCTCATAATGAAATGGTGTTGGAAATTCTACATTATGTATTTGGATTGATATAACGAATAAATTAAAAATCTTAATATAATATTCTGTGTAATAATTGCACATACTGCGATTAGTTTCATTCACATTGCATTAATATTATTGTAATATCAAAAAGTAATATGATGATACGTAATATTGTTTATTTTATTTTATGGATCGTATTAACGAAAAAACGTTAAGAGTTATATTACACTAGATTTTGATAAAAATTTAATCAGAGATATTAAATGAAGACACCGAAGTGTTTTATAAATTTCAAGTCAATATATTGTATAAAATTCCATTTTCTTTATTATTGCGACTTATCATGCGTTTCTTCTAACAAAATAATTGTGGGGCAAGCTAACTTCAAAATGTCTTTTATGCGAGCTTTCATATTAACGTGTAAATTACTCATTCATCTAAATCAAGACTTTGTCTATAAATATTCTGTTAAGCTTACATAAATTATTTACGTCTTATTTTATCGAAAAGTTCTATCATAACATAATATTCTGTGTAACATTTAACGATATAGTGTAATTATACACCGCTTGATAGTATTTCAATAATAAAAATTTTATGAAAAATTATTATTTCACATTTCAATATTGAATATTATGAGAATTAGTTTTTAATTTAAAGTTCTGCAGAAATATATAAAATCTTTTTGTAATTAATCGAAGTATGAAGTTATTTATTCACAAATTATTAATTGTAAATGAAATACTGAGAAATAATTTCTTATCAGTTATTAAAGATCCATGATTTATTAAAACTAACTGAAATATAAAATTTGATATTACTTGAAACTAATGAAAATACTAAGTTTATTATCTATTTACATTTCTAAGGCTTAATTTACGAAAATTATGAAAATATTAAATTACCATAGTTCGCTTCTATTGTAAACTTTTTGAATGAAAAACAGACATCTGCTTCCAATTCTCTCATTAAAATTCGAATGCAAATAGTAGAGAAGAGACAGAGAGACTCTATATATTTGACATAAATTATTCAAAATGGGAATACGTAGAACGATTATAATTTTCCAAATCATATATTTTATTACGTACGAACATATAATTAGAATTGCTTTATATGAAACATTGCCAAAGTAACAACAGGCTGTATACAATAAATCATTGTTTATTATCTCAGAAGTGATATTGAACATGCTAAAACAAACCAATCTATGTTCCAAATCGCAAATATATACTAACTTTGTCCAAGCAGTCCATCGACGCGAACGTTTAATACCCGGCGAGTTGTATAGATGCAATCTGCCTCGCGCCTGTATCTCGTGATCGTGCAACACTTAAGAAATTTCACGTTGAGATGGCAAAGTTTCGCCGGAGTTTCACCGATATGTAAGCTCTATTGTAACTTCATTGCGAGCCGAAGTTCTATTTATGTGCAGCATATACTCGTAAGCTCTAAACGATTATTATTCGGATATTGAGTAAACCTGCGATGAAACGTGATTTCTCGCGCAATTGCATTGTGTAGCTTCAAATATATCGCAACATTCGAATAATATCGGTGAAAGTATAAACATTCGCAACCCTCAGCGTGAGCTGAAAATATGCGAGCTTTATCAATAAGCCGAGACACTCGAGTTAAACATTAGTAGCTCGTATTCAATTCCTGTTATCGTGTCGAGACGAATAGTTATCTACATATATATAATAATATAAAAATCCGCTTTTTCTTTTGTGAACTTTCTTCTTCTCCCATCATGTTCCCTGTAGATATAATAACATCAGATTCCTTGTTACCTCTTTTCTGCGGGGAAAATCCGACAAGTCGTCTGGATTTGACTCTCACGATATTGCCTAAATGGGAAGAATGTCCTTTCATAGTATAATGTCTCCTAGAATGTCGTCGATAATAATAGCAGCTATAATAAGCTATGAAATTCATGGAAAGAATGTATATCTCTTTCAGAGGGAGAAACTTTATAAGCGTTGTTCGATGTTATGAAGTTGACTGTGATGAATTTAAACTGAAAATCAGTTTCTTATTATCTTATTTATTAATTGTAGGTATTTTTATTAAATGATGGTATAACAAATACACGATATCTTATTTAAATAATGTAAGCCTACAAGATTGTCTTTATAATTTTCTTAGAGAAGTGTATACAACTTAAATACTTGCATAAGCCTCACAAATATGTATATACAATATAATACATACATATATTTTTTTTGTTTTTAAAATAATCGAAAATATTTTGTATTGTTCAATGACAAACTTTTTCTAATTAAACTTTAGCTACTTTCGCAGAGAGAGAGAGAGAGAGAGAAAGAGAGAGAGGGGGGGGGAGGAGAGAGAGAGAGTAATGAACTAATTCAAGCAGTTTGCACATTGAAAAGCCATTAGAGATTTAGCTAGAACTTCCGGCAATTTAAACTTATTTCCCGAACAATTCCGACGGAACGGTGATAAATGACGGACGGGTCAGCTATTTCAGCATTCTTGCAACTTTTCTTATTTAGGAGGAACTCAGATTCCGTTTACATTTATCGTCTTTCCTTTGGACAGATCTGAAATCTCGGGAATCGAAAACAGCTCATTCTGCATAAACAGTACTTTGCACTCGCTCAGTGTATCCTAATATATTACGAATGACACGACAAATATTCTTCAATGTCAAGACGTTGATATATTCCTCTACTTCTTGGTGAGGGGATTTATTATAAGGCTTTATACGGTGTGTATCTTCTGTATATTTCCGTCGAAAGCTATTCGAACGATATCAAACGATATTAAATGTATGCACAATGTATGGTACGGTAAATGTAAAAAAGATATTTTTCAGTTTTAAATATTGCTTGGCTTTTTGCATTAAAGTATAATCTTTTCAAAAGAAGACGGATTAAATTAATTCATGAATATAATAAATGGTAAAAGAAATATCAAAATTATTCGATATGCGAGATTAAAATTTTGTTTATTTATTATCATTATAAATAATTTAAATTAATATATTATAAGTTAATGTTATTTAAATAAAAAATTTCAATTTATTTTACAAGTTATCTTACTTATAAAAAATGTGTATTACATATTTTGGACAGGTTTATCGTCTCTTTTGAACTATTGAAACATTTGACATGACAAATTTCGATTATAAGTAAATAAAGTGAACCTATAATATACATTTTATGTATGTATACAAATATGTAATATGTATTTTAATAATAAAACGTAAAAGTTATTCTTTAATAACTTAGTCAAATATCGCTCTTTCGTTACAAACGAACTAATAATGCAGCTTCTCTACTATTTTAGAATTTGTCAAGATTTTGAGAAAAACGCTTCATTCACACTTTCTCTTTAACGGAAACTTTTTGCGCGACGTACCATGTAATTGCATTGTTGCACTCGGACGCACCATTTAGGACTGAAAGTTAACTCGGTAGACTTCTCTCCAAAGCTTATTTTGAAAGGACATTTTGAGAGCGTGATTCCTAATTTTATCTGGTACATATAAGAAAAGGAAGTAAATTTTATATATATATATATACTATATATAAAATTTACTTCCTTTTCTTATTTGATAACACTTCATATTTATTTTTTCATTATTACTTTACATTTGTAGAAACATACACACAAAGTATATTGTCGATAAAAAATTTAGAACGAATATTTACGAGAGTTTAAGTTTTGCGTTACACATTTCTAGTAGTTTTAAACGATTTTTATCTATTCCATAACTTGATACTGTCATAATTTTATTTGTAAAATTAAAATCGTTAAAAACATTAAAAAAATTTCTTCATAGAACTTTTGGTTTTACATACCGAATACGGTTACATAAAATAAAATGTTCAGGGTGTTCACTTACGTTGTAGTAAAGTAAAAGGCCATACATCACGTTACCCGTGTGCAAAAAAGATGTTTTACAAAAAGCTTTTCTGTACTTTTATATCCGTCCTTGAATCACGAACAGGCTTGACCTTTTCCTTTTTCTTAAAAAGTGTTCGATCGCGATTTTTCTGAGACTACATTTCCATTAGCCTTGGTTACCAGGATCCATTTTGAAAATCTACTTCAGAACATTCGTGTTTAAAGATCCATTTCTCAATGTTTGAAGTTGCTTAGTTCGTTTTGAAATGTACGTCCTTCCCGTATTTTGTACTACATTCTTGTTCACTCGTTTTTACTTTGCACGACGAAACATTGCTTCAAACTTTTAACAGCCAAGTGTTGAAAGCATAAAGTTTACAGAACATAACTGCGGAAATAATAATATGTACGGATCGTAGTTTATATAATTTAAGAACGGTAAATATAAAAATTAAATGGCATTCTTATTTCTACAAGCAAGAGTAGGTTTCATGCTTTTTAATCGACGTATTTAAAAAAATGTTTTTATTTAATTCTTGTACAGTGATGAATTCTTTGTGTGTATACTTGCAATACATATATATTTACAATTCGCGTGAGAAAATTGTAGATTAAAAGATATAAATTATTCGCATTCAATGGGCAAATCATATCAGTGAATCTCTCAGTATATATGCAACTCAATTGTATATAAATATATATAATGTATAGATATATGGTATATACATACGTCACACAATTATATACATATACAGTTAAATTTATTACTTGCATTTTGTATTATAATTCTAATGGCACACAAAACGTGGATGATCCGCGATAGTCGGGAAAAACTTTAACATTACACGATTTTTGTGATTAAAAACATAATTAAATAGATAAAAATTAAAATAAGTCTGTGAAAGAAAGCCTGTATGTTTTTTTAAAACACATTCTGTATAGTTATTCTTTGACAATTATATCATCTTCGAGATTAGATGCTTGTTTTCAAGACAGTAAAAATGCAGTCAAAGGAGAATTCACAGTCAAAGAACCGTTTTACCTCAATTAAAGACCGTAGAATGCGTTTGTGCTTCAGGTTGCTTCAAATAACAAACAGGAAATACAATATATATCTTGGATTTTCTCCGTACTTTGAAGAAATTGCATTCCGTAGGATTGATAAATAAATAAAAACATAAAAGAAAATCTTTTAACAGTGTCTGTGTCTCACTATTAAGCATTTAGGTATAACTCTGTTTAAGATTATAAATTTTATAAAAGATTTTATTGGAATGAGATATAAGATTTTGTTATACATATGTCTAAATATATGTACATATTTTTGTTTTTTATTTTACAAGAAATTATTTATATATATAGTAATTAATTCAAAACTATATTCAAACTACAATTATTTTAACGTCCAAAACTTTTTAATTAAATGTTTTCGATCCTCATTATTCATTTTTGAAATAAATACAAAAAAAGTTCCATATTAAAGGGTTGCATGAATTTATTATTACGAGTTATATATTATTATGAGTTTCATAATAAATTTAATATATAAACTAAAGTAGCGTGTAACAAATCAAATTAATAATTGCCGGAAATTGTGCGACTCACGTTTTTTCGACTTCCTTAACTTTTGTAGAGATCCCTGAGCAAAGTAATGTAACTTTTTCCATATTCACATCACGCTCTGCCTGAAGCTATATAACTGACTCTGAATAATAAATGTGAAAACTATTGTAATATTAATTTTGAAATAAAATATCAAGTTGTTTAGATACGTTATTATATTTTACAGGAAGTAATTTATGAGATAAAGTTATCATAAATAATTTATGAGCAAGAGAATATTGATGATGCGTTATTTAAATGTTATTAAACTTAACCTATACGTTTAGGAACATATTAATTATGGATAAGCTAATCCTTGTTTCATTTTATTAAGTTGTTTTAAGCGAGAAATCATTTTTTGAGTAATAAAATGATCTTATTTTATAATTATCAGTAATGAAAACATCCACAAATATTATCACTTGACTAATTTGTAGATCACATGTTATGTGGAATATACTGATATAAGATTTTTTTAAGATTTTGAATTACTAAAAAGAAAATTACTTTAAAGTTTAAATTCTATAATCTTTTTTACACGTTACGTGTAATTTCTCAATATACTTACCAAATCCGACACAAATTAATTTTATCAAGACGGTTGATTGCATAATTGCTTTACGTTCTAAGTATAACTGGTTTTAATGTCTACTTTAGGAATACCAATCGCGAGTATCGTTCAGAAAACTTTACCTCAAGGAAATCACTTCGCTCCAATCTCGTATATTCGCCTCGCGTTTATTCTCACGAGCATGGTGTCTGTAAGCCCAGTTAATGGCATCGCAAAGATGTTTTCTCTTCCCAGTATCGGTCGTCGTTTCTTCGGTAATGTCGGAGCTGTTCCATGGGTTCTTCCGCGAGCTTCGCGGGTAAGCTGCATCTGAAATAAGTGTGAGCCTAAGGCTGGTTTCAGATGGGAAATGGTCTGCTCCTTTTTCCACTTTCTTTCTCTTTCTCTTTTTCTCTGAGGTCAATACGAGAAGTGACACTTCAGAGGTCAGGAAGAGCAAAGAGCCAGCTCGCCCTCCGTTCACCCTCTCTCCTATAAAGCCCTCGTCTCGTTTGTCTACCTCGGGCGGCAGGTGACCCAGTTCTGCTGGAACGTACTGGCTCTCTAACAACTCGGTAGTACTCGAAAGGTATCGGCCTGGGGCGAGAATACCCGCGTGGATTCGACCGGACATATTCGTCCGACACGATCACAGCCGCCATTGTAACGCCGTATCACGATCGCGAGCTTTTACGCTTACGCGATTTTGGCTCAGTAATACGCAACGGAGACATGACGCTCGTAAAGGAAGCCATAATTTCAAGACGGTATATTCGCTGATAAAGCAAAATGACAATCGATAACAAACTGGAACATCAAGAATATTATTGGTGAGAAGATATGCAAGACAATTCACTTTCACTATTTATATAAAATGTCCAGAAAAATCTTCCATAAAATCTCGCTGTGTTATTATTACAGAATATTATATAGAATTATTATTATTAGAGAATATTATACAGAATATTATACAGAATATTATATAGAATTTTATTACATAATAATTTAAAAGATGCATAATAAAAAATTAAATAAAGAAGAATTTAATTAACAAATTAAACACGTATCAGTTGCATTTTTTAAGAAAACTCAGAGAGTTCTTAGAAAATGACCGGTTTAAAGAACTTTTTAATTTTTTTCAATATTAAAATATTAACACTTTCTTCAGATTTTATGTCTTTTTTGTTTCTCGGAAATATAACAATAGATTTCTCGAGAAAGAATCAAAATTTTATGTAATGCAAAATTCGTATTTTATAATAGATCATGTAATTTTAGTACTTTTTTAAATTTAATATTCTCTTAAGCAGCTCTTTTCTATAATTTTTTTACAATTAAATTAGCGGTAAGAAAAAATTAAGGAAAAACGAAATAGGTATCCAGAAGAATGTTTTTTCATTTTAATTTCTAAAAAATTGAAAATATCTGGAGAATTACGAAATTACTTTTTATTATTTGAATAGACTTTTTACAATGAATTTTAACATTTTTTAATCGCTCAACCGACTTACCTTTGATGTTAAGACCCTCTTAGCCGATTTCTTCTCGAATCGTTGTATTTCAAGTAGATAAATATTTTCCAGGGCTTCAGTAAAGCTGCTTGAATTATGGCATCTCGAAGCCGGTTCTCCCTTCAATGCGTATCATAGCTACACCTTGGAAAATAGATTTTCGTTTCACACAAAAGAGAGATTCCTTTGTAGCGAAGAAATAAAAGTTTTGATATCGCACAGCTGCGACAACTTTACTGATACGAGATACCATCGGCTTTTGTTGTAGGAATTCCTATTGGCGATCGACGTAACGTCCAGCGGCACGCCGGAAGAAAAACTGAAATGGGCGTTCCGCATGTACGACGTTGACGGCAACGGCGTTATCGATATGCAGGAAATGACGAAGATCGTCCAGGTACCGTAACTCATGAAAAATGCATGCGCTTCGATTTATCTCCACTTAGTTGCACTCGACCGCAACTCTTCCGACAGAATACAGAATTTTTTATCACTTGACGTCAGTACTATCGGCATAGTTAATCAATGAGAGAGGAAAAGAGATTCTGATATACTCAACACAATATATTTATATTTTTAAAATGCATGATTATATCATCTCCGCGTCGCAAGTTCATAATTTCACGTTTAATTGTACGTGGCACTCGTGACGTCATTACACTTCTCTCTCGTAATGACTAAGGCTACGTTCCAAAATTCACTGCCAGCGCTGAAAATCTATCGTTTGTGTTACGTATTCTATACATTTCCATCACTGATAGTAAATTTTAGAACATATAGCCTAAGGGAGACTTAATAATGCATATAGTAAAAACACAACACGAATTGAGATTATTTTATCAATATATATTGAACCTTATTTTTTTCCTTTAACGCGAAATATTTAAGATTGTGCGTAATGAGATACAAATAACAATTCTCTATTCTGTCGAATATAAGAAATATTAGTCAATACTAATTTACATAATTAACATGCGATTGCGTGTAATAAATCAACATCGTTTTCCCGTATCTGTCTAGTGCACTTTGGTGCTGTTTTTTTCTCTTTTTTTTTACGACGCATTGAGTGGCGTGTGCAACGAATACGGACGCGCTAATATTTCATGAACTCTTCGTGAGAGAACGGATGTCGATGTAACCGCGCAGCTATTCCACTCGACGGCCATGCTTTTCTCAGAAGCGAGGCTTCGTTAAATACAGCTGTCGCGTCTCATTTTTAAATAAGTAATTAAAGTTTCTGTACCACTCGGTGGTGTAGCGGGCAGTAACGAGACGAATGGAAACTTTGTAACGCGCAACCTATTGCATAATAAATTTCTGCGAAATTGCGGGATCATTCTCCATGCGTGGAGCGAAAGCGCGCTTTAATATTTAAATGGCAGCATGGTCTTCATTGGATTTTAACATTCATTTATTTTGCATTAATGTATAATAATTCTGCAACATATTTTGTAATAATAATTATAAGCACGTATAAAATTACACGTAAAATGGTTCCGTAAATTTAATTAATAATATTGTGAAAGTCACAATTTTGTTGCGCGATTATATCTTTATACATAAGAAAAATATGTCATTTTTTTTTTACAATAAAGTTAATCGTGGCAGAAAATAAAAGGAATTATTATTGTCAAAAGTATAAAGGTGTTCTAAAGACGCAAAATGAACTAATAATATTTTCAACTTTCTGGGGATATATTTTGAGGGAAACTTGGAATTATTTTGCGGAATAAAACCCGAGAATTAGGACACAAAGATAGAATCACGCTTGAGAAGCAAATTATCACATTATATTTAGGTGTGAATCCGAGTGAATAGGGAAACGTGCTTGTATACTAACAGAGCGTGGAAAATCATGATAAAAACATGGTGCCTATATATTATGCTTTATAAAAGTATTATTATATTATAAATTTTATACATTTTAAGTTTCCTATTATTTTTATTTTTTTAAAATCTCTATTCTTATACGAAAAAGATATATCTATATGTTGAAATACCTTTTATTCTATGATAATGTAATTATAATTAACATATTTATGCGCAATGAAATACGAAATAGAATATTTAGTAAACGTTGGATGATTAAAACATAATAATACCGATCTTTCATCAATAAATAAAAATAAGATATGTTTGATTATTGGAATAATTATTGAAATAATTGATACTTTGTACTTTATATCGATATATTATTCATTTAATTACTTAGCGAATTTCTAGTAATGAAGTTTAATTAATGTTAAAATTATATAAATGTTAATATTATACAAAAGTATTAAATATTAATATTTTAACATGTTTAGAGATTTTAAGACAATTATGTCACATTAATTTAAACTTTAAAAATTATGGAAATAAAAAATATCTAAGGTATTTTAAATTTTTTCAAAATTGCATATATCACATTAATATGTAAAAATTTGTGTTTATTCCTAACAAAAAGCTGATTACTTGTCATTATAAAAATGATTATTTCTCTAAATTTGAGTGGAGAAAATTATTTTGAAGAAGATTAAAATGTTTTAATTACGCGATAAAAAGTTTTATCGGAAAATAAGTTTTATTCTTTGTACTTTGAGATACGTTATCGCTTTCGTAAAAAAGCTCATTGAACTGCCTAGCCTGGTCGCGTCCGTTAGGATACTCATCTCCACACTTATTAGAAGTTCGGAACTACCGCGACTTTCACGGAAATTCCGGCAACCGGGGCTTTCCGCGTTCAATGAAAATTAACAATGGAATGTTTGGTGAAACTCTGTGCATCCTTGTTTAGCATTTAACTCGTGAATATCTACAACCGCTGTGTAACTCATTTGACCGTACATTTCATTACACTCTGGGTAACAGTGGTTGTTGTAAATATCTTCACAAGTAAACGCTTCATTGTTTCAAAAATTATTTTAGAGACAATATTTTATACAGAATGATCCTGAAAAAAAAATGGTCAATTTGCCACCATTTCTCTTGTCGTTTTTAGAAAATATGTTTTCTTTCTGATTTAAGAAACTTTTCAAATTGCCCACGTAATATATAATCGCTGAATATAGAAAAATATTTTTTATATGAAAATAGTAGCTTGTTATAATTATTATAATTATTGTATATTAATATTATATAATTTATACACACACAGAGTAGACATTGCCATACATGTTACAAATGTTTATGTTACAACGTATAATTTATATTTGAATTTTCTGTCTCTTTTTAATAATCTGCATATATAGTTTGAAGATTGATTAATTTTTTTTGATAAGTATGTATTATGTAGGAAAAACTAAGAGGATTAATTTTTTGTTTAAATAATTCTGTCCCATCGATGAGTCTACCAATTTACGATAAAAATAATCTTATCTTATATCCAGCTACTGGGTGAGAAAATAATAAATTTCGCGCATTTATCTCTGTCCAAGCAATTTACAGTGGACTAATCGGAAAAAGTACGAAAAGAGATTCTAAATAAAGAATCACTGGTACGCTTTAATGCTTCTAAAAAAAAGTATCTGTATGATAAATTATATTTTCGGAGCAAAATGCGATTTATCATTTACTATTAGTCGAGTTTTACATAATTATAAACGCGTGGATAAGAAAATAATACAATAATAAAAATTGATAAGTTTAAAATAATATTTTAATTTTATCAATTTTTCAGTCAACTGTAGCTAAATACATTATATATTTCATAATAATATTAATAAAATTGCAAGATGCAACGAGTAAAGAGTTTTTTTTGCGTTGCTAAA